GTCTGCGGGCGGCCGGTTAGGGTCTGACAGCCCAGTCAGGGTCGGCGTGTCTGGCGCCCTGGCGGCCGCTCCCAGGGGCCCGAGGGCGGGCGGGACGAGTAGGGGCGGCGCGGGGCGCGGGCGGGGGCCCCGGGAGGTGCTGCGGGGCAGGCGGAGCCGGTCTCTGACGCGGCGGCTGGAAGCTTTTGTCCCCCCCGCCCGGAGTTAAGAAGGGGAAACTTCAACTCTCACAAAGTACGTAGGTAGGCTGCAGGCGAACGACATACTTAAGTACTCAAAACGCACGGTTTTTTACTTCTTCAAATTCAGTAACCAATAAATGATCCCAGCGTTTCCCGTGATTGAAAGGACAGACTGACTCCGCCTCATCGTGTCTCAACTTTTTGGGAGCTTAACAGCAATGCAGAGTGTGCGGGGACTGGGTTGGGAGGATGTGCGCGCATCCGTACATATGTGTGTATCTGTCTGTGTGTGCTGTTTTCGTCTATTTTCATTGTGTTTCTGCTGCGGAGGGGACACTTCTTTAATTTTTGCTGGCACGCTATTGGGGATCTTTGTACAGTATCCTTGAAAGCATTCTTACACCTCGAAAGGCTTTCTTTTTCCATCCCACAGCAGGGTTATTCCTTTTATAAAATCTGTAGGAAGTGATCTGTGTTAAGAACCCTCGCAACGGTACAGACTCTCCTCTGGCTTAATTCTCCCTGTCATCCTGGATGACTTTGTTTTTGCTTCATTTCTCTCTTGCTGGACAGCAGCTGCAATAGACATTTACTGGACTCTCAGTTTGGAAGCTGTGGCATAGACCTTTATGGCCAATATTTCAGTGATTTGTGGCATCTTGTCAGTTCAATGTGTTAGGTAGTAGAAGGAGATGGTAGCCATGATTCCCAAAACGTGATGTTAACCAGATGTGTTGTGAAGCTGTTTAAAACAAAAAGGACTACGCCCCTGGGTGGGGGAAGGAATAGAATTATTTACTTACTAAGACCATCCCTTGAGAGACTCAGTTAGGGTAGAAAGCACGGTTTTATGGTGGTCATCTTACCTTGAACGTGGAAACTGTCATGTTCAAGTTAAGAGCAGCCATATGATGGAACCTTCACGGGACCCTGATCCCTGCTTCAAAACAGAGATGTTTGCATGTGAGGGCCTCTGCTGACGTCTGTGTCTCTAGGGTGTTGTGGATCAGTTTTCTTTCTGACCTGATGCTGTGCGTCCTTTGGGATCATTAATGTCCAGCCTGCCCTGATTCCCGGAGTTCTTACAGGTTTTGCCTTCCTGGCCAAACGTTATGCAGTTCTCGTGGTTTTTACAGTCATCCGTTCAATAGCTGTGTTTATTACTGAGTGTGGGTTTGTTTCCGGCATTGTTCTAGATCTTGGGACTAGAGAAGTGAACGAAATAGATAAAAAGCGTGTCCTGACTGACATGTTAGATGTGACACCACAGTGTGGCTTGTGGGAGAGTGCTGTGGGCCAAGCAGGAGGGAGTTGGAATCACCAGGATGGCCTGGAAAGATCTCACCACAGAGGCAGCCAGTTTTGACCGGGACTCAAAAGCAGCGCAGGGGGAGGGGCATGTGGTCTGCTCCGGGAGTGACCAGTGGCCAGGGTGCAGTGGGTGGGGGTGAGCGAACTGAAGGCAGGGTAGCGACAAGGTCTGGTCGTGGGCCTTGTTGGCTCATGGGGCGGGCATGTGAGTGGGACGGGGCTGCGTTGGGGGCTTTTCCAAGGAGGAGTAACGTGACTCGCACTGGCTGCTCTGCTTCAGAGGAGCAGAAGGCCTGTCAGGAAGCCGCTGCAGTGAGCCAGGCGTCAACCTGGAGGGCTCGGTCCTCGTGGGGAGAGGGGTTGAAATCAGTGCCTCTGCAGGTCGGGGCAGGAGGGCTGTGGTGGTGGGAAGTGTGAGGGCCAGCCGTGCATTGAGCGGCGTTTGAAATGCCGCGGTCTGTGGCTTGAGCTGGGAAATGCAGGCGGGGAGACCTGGGGAGCTCCGCTTGCCCGGGAGATGTTAGGAGGAGGGTCTTGGATGGGGTGAGAGTAAGGCACCTGCTGGACGTCTGTGTATTGTCCAGGGAGCCTCGGGTCTGCAGGCGTGGAGCTGAGGGTAGAGGCCTGGGCTGGAGGTAGACGTGTGTGGGGCCGCTTTGGGCGAGGTCTCTACAGGCCTGAGTGGGAGGGGAGGCGGGGCTGGAGGCCCAGAGCTGCTGCCAGGCTGCGGGCGGCAGGCAGACCCCAGGCCTGTCCTCAGAATGCGCTCTGGTTGGCACTGAGCTTGACATGCTGTCGGCTCCTTGAGGACAGAGTTGGTGTCTTGTGCTTCATCTTTGGGCCTTGCCTGTGTCTGACAGGTGGTTGGTGATGGAAGAAGTGTAACTTGAGTTGCTGGTGATGCACATGGTCCTGTCCTGTGGGTGTTCCCGGGCTGCAGGGTTTGTGTATAATAGAAATCTGCATGTTGGCGTAACATGTAGCGGATGAGGAGGGCAGTCAGGCTCACTGGGGGCCAGCTGGTGAGTTCCCTGAAGTGGCCTGGGCAGTGTCCTGGTGCCCCTGAAGTTCCAACTTTCCTTCCCTTCCACTGATCTCCTTCCCTTCCTTCCTGTTTTCATTGAGAACTGCTATTCAGTCACTCAGTTGTGTCCCACTCTCTGTGACCCCATGGACTGCATCAAGCCAGGCTTCCCTGTCCATCAGCACCTCCCAGAGCTTGCTCAAACTCATGTCCATTGAGTCAGTGATGGACTCAATGACTCAGTCATGTCCATCTCATCCTCTGTCATCCCTTCTCCTGCCTTCAATCTTTCCCAGCATCGGGGTCTTTTCTAATGAGTCAGCTCTTAGCATCAGGTGGCTGAAATATTGGAGCTTCAGCATCAGTCCTTCCAATGCCAGTATTTTCATATAAACTATTTGGGGTTTGAAAAAAAAATAACTTGCAAACTTGTTATTTTAAACATAAGCATTTTAGTATGGAAGAAAAGAAGGGAAGACCCTTCTTTTGGTTTTATTCTAAAAGTATACGTAACACATATTTACAGAGTATAACACGTATTTACAAAATATAATCTCTCAGAAATATACATGTTTTGGGAAAATGTCTTTGAAGTGTGGTACATTATACTAAGCTCTAAACAATTCTACTGGTGCATATTTTTTGTGCTTTTCCCTGGTTGAGTTATCGTGTAATTGAGACTAAGTCATCTGGTTATGTTTATTGAGCACAGTTTGCTATTTTTCAATCATGTTAATAACATTAAATGGAAACATTTAAAAAATAGAATTGCCATTCTGTTAGTGGACTTTCTGTTTTCTCTTCCTGGTGTGATCAGGGACACCCTTGGGAAGAAGAGATGACTAGGTGGAAAAAAGTATTTCTAAAAGCCTTCTTTCTCAAAGTGGATGGTGCGTGTCTTGCTTCTACTGTGTCCTCTTACTTCAAGTCAGAGTCAGTACCCGAGCATCTCTAGACTGGCATTCTTTGGGAAGTCGGGCTCCTTTTAACTCAGGAGGCGTGTGAGCTTCATAGATGATCCTGAGGTTCCCCTCACGGGTCTGTGTTGTGAGACGAGGCCTCCTCCGGGTTGGGTGTGAAGACTGCTGGTCCTGAGCCGGTGGAGCTGGTCAGTCTGAGGGCGAGTCAGTGCAGGAACTTCTGAGGGTGGACTCCTCTTGTGGTTCGGTCTGTGTGAGGCTTAGTGATTGTGAACGTTCATTTAAAAATGGGAAGGTATCAGAGTTTCTATTGAAGTCTTTCCTGACCTTGTGTTCTGCAGTGTTTTCTGTCCCACAGAAGCATGGAAACATATTTTGGCTAAATTAATACTGAAAACGAACAACAGTGGCGTTTGGTTCGGCGGAGGGGGAATTGAGTTTCCTCTGACACGCCTTACGGCCTGAGCTCACGGGGAGGGGGCCGGAGGGTGCTGAGAGCCGGGCTGGGGTCCCGCGTCCCTGGCGCCAGCCTGCGTTCTCATCCTGTGGGCAGAGCTGGCCACTCGCCCTGGTTCCTGGGTGAAGAAAAGGAGGCTCAGAATTGTGAGTCGTGTGTCAGCCAGCAGGTGGGTTCTCGGGGTTTCCAGCATCAGATCTCAATAGAAAGTCGAAGAGCAGAAGTGAGTGGAATTCGGAGGGGTCTGTCCTTCCTTCACTGCAGAGGCCGGGCCTCAGGTCAGGGGTGGTGGTGGGGGTGGCAGCTCGTGCCCCCCCCCCCCCCCCCCGGCCAGGCTAAGAAGCCCTTGGCTCTAGCCGCAGCGACAGGTCCGTGGACCTGTGCTGGTGCTAGTGGGCGGGCCCATTCTCGGGGCCAGGGCTGGTCAGGTCACTTGGGTGACCGGGCTGATTCTGGAGGACATTGTCCCTGGGGGGGGGTGCAGCTCGGACTGTGGAGATGGGTGTGCTGCCCTCCCTGTGCCCCCCAGGGAGGATCAGGGCCTTGCTGCACCTGCTGATCCGTTTCTCTCTCTGGCTCCTGCTTTGCCAGTGAGTTAACTGGCATAGAGGAGGAGGGTGTGGACTGCAGACCCCCGGGCGCTCCACAGGGCGCAGAGAGGGGAGCCCGGCCCGGGGCGTCCTTGGCCGATGCGAGAGGAGCCATGACCTGTGCCCGGAAGGGTCCCGCCTCCAGGAGGAGCGGGAGGTGTGGGCGAGGGGGACCCCTGTCAGCTTCCTGCCCACGTGGTCCCTTCAGGAGCCTTGGGCGGTGAAGACTGAGAGGCTGCCAAGCCTGTAATGTTGTTAGTGTTAGTCACAGCGGGGGACTCGGTGATGTGTTAACAGGGAGGACACCTGTTTCCCCTTCCCTCTGAAGTTGGCTGTGTTGCCTATAAAGTCGGCGCTTTACCCTGAGAGTCGTGCCTGCTTCCTCGCGCGTGCCTTCTTGGGTGAGAACCCGCCCACTGCGGGCGGCTGCTGTCACTGGCGTTCAGAGCAGCCGTGTCTCCTTTTCTTGCTCATCTCACTGGAGGCTGGCTGTCTCCAGAGCGTCCCAGGGCCCTCTGATGTGTATGTGTCACTTTGTCCCCGGAGCGCTTCAGGGCTTGGTAGGCAGGTCCACCTTGGGTTCTGGGCTGCGGTCCTGCAGGGTGTCACTGCCCTGCAGCGCTGTTGGCTGAGGTCAGACAGATTCTGTTGGCGCTGCACCCTTGGAGTCATCCTGGCGGGCCTGAGTCCACAGGTGTGTAAACCTCGAGGTCTGAGAAGGCCGTGCCCTCTGAAGATGTGGAGACGGCTCCCACGGGCAGAGACACAGATGTGTTCTCTCTTGGAGAAGACAGAAGTGTAGCTCGTTCCCGCTCGGTTTTTATAATCACATGCACAAACAGAGAACCCTACGTGGAAAGGGCTGGAGAGAAACTTGGAGGTTGACTTATTAATCCCTGATTGCAAGCCAGCCTGGCGGATGCGGGGGACGCACGGATGAGGCAGGTCCTCAGAGCAGGTGGGCTCGCCCCGGAAGCACAGGACCCCTCTGAGCCCGTGGGTTTTCGGGCGATGGGCAGGAGGCAGAGCTGGCTCCTGGCGGCTGGGGAATTCCTGGCGCGTGCTGAGCACAGGGCCTCTCTTGCTGCCGGTGTGTGGTGTCGAGAGCACTCTCCGCGCCCTGGGACCTCAGATTGGCTGAGCAGCAGTGGAGCCGTTTGGGGCAGGCAGGCCGCGTGCCTTTGTCCTTGACGTTGGCGATGCACGCTGACCTTGGAGCCCTTTGTCTGCGGGCCTCTCGTGAGCCCCTCTCGGGAAGGTTCAGGGCTGCGTCCCAGCTGTGCTGCAGGGCATCCTGTCACATGTTCTAGTGACGGCGAGGAGCTTTCCCCACCCAGAGGCACCCCCAGCCGTGAGGGCCCCACAGGGACCCGTGCTCCTCTGCCCACCTTTCCCGGGGCTGGGGGTGCAGGCTGGATGCTGTGAGGCACCGGGACTCTGGACAAAGAAACACAGGCAGGGCCTGGCCCATCTGTGAGTCGGCACAAACGGCTTCTGCAAGGAAGCACGAGGCTGCAGCTGATACTTTATGTTTTGTGGCCTTTGGATTTTTTTGTTTTGTTTTAGTAAATTGTTTTTGTTTACCAAAAAGTAGGGCTGTTACTGAAAAATAAAGCCAGGTGTGGGAGAAGCTCATCTCATGTCTTTGATTTTCTGGAGAGCTGAGTGGAGTTGCGGGTGGAGGGGATGGGGGCGCTGTCAGAGCTGGTGAGGCGGCAGCCGGGAGCGGGGTGCCTGGGGCGCCCCATGGGCGTGGCCGAGCTGCTGCTTTGGGAGCCCAGGACAGAGGGAGGGTGTCCACCAGGCTTTGGGCATCTCTGAAGCCAGGTGGTGGGCGGCCCACAGGTGGACACGGCGTACGTGCAGCTCTGCAGGAAGTGGGGGTGCACCCCAGGCTCCAGGCTGCCTGGCGCCCGGGTCCCGGGCTTCGAGCTGGTTTCCAGAGTGGTGCCCTGGCCCGCCGTGCCCTGCCGGACTGCTGCTCTGCCTTGCGTGCCGTCCAGACCAGCCTTGCGTTGCAGAGATGGAGGTCTGGGCCCATCTGTGTTTGTTGTTTAGGTTCCAGTCTGAAACAGTTAGGGGCTTAAAGTGTTAGTTGCTCAGTCATGTCCCACTCTTTGTGACCTTGAGGACTGTAGTAGCCGCCGGGCGCCTCTGTCCGTGGATTCGCCAGGCAGGAACACTGGAGTGGGTAGCCATTCGCTTCTCCAGGGGATCATCCTGGCCCAGGGATCAAACCCGTATCTCGGGCACTACAGGCGGCCTCTCTGCTGTGTGGGCCTGGGCCTGCTGCCCTCTCCCCTTGCAGTCTGCTGGGTGCTGGCTCTGCCTGGAACCCTAGAGGCTGAGGAGGTGGGGGCGGGGCTGCCGCCCGGCGCCGAAACCCCCAAACTCCACATGCGCTCTCTGTGCGGAGGTGCTGTGTGTGATTTCTCATCTCATTTATAAAATCAGGAAATGGCCATTAGAGTGTCTTTGGTTTCCATAGCTACTCTGACGTACGACACGCTGCGATTCGCTGAGTTTGAGGATTTCCCTGAGACCTCGGAGCCTGTCTGGATCCTGGGGAAGAAGTACAGCGTCCTCACAGGTACAGCCTAACCGTAACCCTAAACCCTAACCCTAACCATAACCCTAACCATAAATCCTAACCCTAACCCTAAACCCTAACCCTAATACTAAACCCTAACCCTAAACCCTAACCCTAAACCCTAACTATAAACCCTAACCCTAAACCTAAACCCTAAACCCTAACCCTAAACCCTAACCCCTACCCCTACCCCTAAACCCTAACCCTAACCCTAAACCCTAACCCTAACTCTAAACCNAACCTAAACCCTACCCCTACCCCTAAACCCTAACCCTAACCCTAAACCCTAACCCTAACCCTAAACCCTAACCCTAACTCTAAACCCTAAACCCTAGCCCTAGCCCTAGCCCTAACCCTAACCCTACCCGCCGAGCTGCCCTGCTCTCCTGCAGAGAGAGCGGCGTGCAGGTGAGCTGTCTGTGACTTCCCGAGACGCAGGCCCTGGGCGCTTACCGCTGTGTGTGCGTGCTCCTCCTCTCACCCTCTAGAAAAGGACGAGATCTTGGCCGATGTGACGTCGAGACTCTGGTTTACGTACAGAAAGAACTTCCCGGCCATTGGTAAGTACTGCCTGCTACAGCCTGTGGTCTAAGCGGATCTCAGAGTGTCAAGGGCTTGTCCCCGGCGTCACCCTTGGGCAGCCCGAGTTACGGACGCGGCGAGGTCTGCGCCTGTTGGCCACGGAGCTCGATCACAGCCCAGTGCCCCTGGCCCTGCCGCGCCGGTGATGTTTCTGACAGTGAGCCACACCTGCTCACTGGGGCCTGGGGCCTGGGCGATGAGCCACACCCGGCGTTGACCTTGCAGAGCGGAACACAGCAGGAAGTGCATGGCCCCGCTCAGTGCTGAGGCTGCCTCTGCTCCCGGAGGCCTGTGCCTACATGCTGGGCCCATGTTGGAGCTGGGAAGCCCTGCTCGCACCCCTGAGCTGTCCCTGTGGGTCATGCTCTTGGTTCTGGGCCTTGAAGAGCAAGGTTCTCTCGAGCCAGGGCTCCTCACTGTGGCCCTGGAGGTGGTCCTGGCACCCCTGTTGGAGAGCTGGAGCCCGAGGCTGGCACCAGGAGGCGGCCAGTCTCCATCAGCCCCTCCTCAGGGGGCTGCCGTCTGTCCGCGGAGCTCGGGAGCTGGGGGCACCTGCCTGCCCCAGGGCCACATCCCGTGGCAGGCTTGTCAGACACCTCAGGCTCTCTCTCACTCCTGCTGGGCCCCAGATGGGGCTGAAGCCACTGGGCGGGCCACGCTGTCCATAGGTCTGTTGTCTGAACCCCCGGGCAGGGCGGCTTGTGGCAGCCTGTGTGAGCGGCCGTCAGGGCGGAGCTCAGCGGCTCTCCTGGCCGTGGTCTATGCTGCTGTCCGTGGTCTGTGCTGCAAGACTGCTGGGCAGGGTGGGGTGACCTGCGTGCTGCCGAGGCTGTGCCTGCAGGCACTCTGCCCACTCTGCACCCGCCGCCTCCACCTCAGGGCCAGTCGCACTCCTGGGGATACTGCGCCCACTCTGCATTACTCATGAGGCTGAGGTCTCTTCACGTGTGTCCAGACGTTCTGTTTCTCTGTGACTTGTTCACACATCGGCCCTAACGAGGGGATCGTGAAGTCATTTCCCTCGGCGTGAGCTGGTCATCAGTGCAGAGTGAGCCGCGCAGGGCCGGACCTGGGTCTGATGGTGCTTGCCTCTCTCGCCCTCCACGGCAGGGGGCACCGGCCCCACCTCGGACACGGGCTGGGGCTGCATGCTGAGGTGTGGACAGATGATCTTCGCCCAAGCCCTGGTGTGTCGGCACCTGGGCCGCGGTGAGTCTCCGTGGGGTCAGCTGCGTTCTCGGGGGGCAAGGGCGGGGCGGGGGGACATCACAGTCACACTCTTGGCGTTTCGGGATTTCTTTGTAACAGCCTCGAAGTTTTCATTGATTAAAGAAAGTGGCTTTGAAGACACTCATAAGCGTTTGTGTTTCAGAAGTGATTTTTAAATCACCGAACCATTTTCTGTGTGGATCTGCTTTGATGTGTTGGCATGTGTATATTTGAAATCCTGAGGAACTCGGTTCTTCCACTTGGGGAGTTTCTCAGGAAGTTTGGGCACCATGTATGTTTTGAGTGCTTTATAACGATGATGGCTTCTCGCTTGCATTTGGTGAAACTGAACTTGCATGTTTGTCTCCTGTAGACTGGAGGTGGACGCAGCGGAAGAGGCAGCCAGACAGCTACTCCAGCGTCCTGCAGGCATTCCTGGACAGGAAGGACAGCTGCTACTCCATCCATCAGATAGGTGGGGGGTCATTGGGTGTGGGCCTCGAGGGTGCCCCTGTGGTGAGAGGCGGGGATCTGCCCGAGCTGACATGATGTCAGCCTGGCGTTGGTGAACAGCAGCTTGCAGGCCTCGCAGGCTGCTCCTTGGTGCCCCACCATGGCGGCACTGCCTGTGCAGACGCCCCGCTGTCTCGGCCAGCTTGTCGCGTCCCGTTTCCACCCTGGGGGGGGGCGGGCGGAGCTCTGTGCTCACTGACCTGCGCGCTGCCTCTGTCCGCTCCCCCAGTGGGGCTAGGGCGGGACCTGAGGGGTGCACCTTGAAGAGAAGGGGTCCCTGCGGGGGCGGTGGCCACGTCCTGGCGACAGTCAGGAACTCCTGTGAGGCAGGCCTCCCAGCCAGTGTCTGGGGCCGCTCCAGGCGGGGGCTCGTCCTGGGACTGGGCGGAGTTTGGGACGCGGGGGATGAGGCTCGCCAACCAGCTCTGTCTCTTGCAGCACAAATGGGAGTCGGTGAGGGCAAGTCCATCGGCCAGTGGTATGGGCCCAACACCGTCGCCCAAGTCCTCAAGTATGTGCCTGGGGCGCTCAGACTCACCCGGGTCTCTGCTGCTGAAGGGAATGAGGGGCCTTTTACTCTCTCAGGGTCCTTTGCAGGACCCTTAGGAGGCTCCTTAGAGGTCACTGTGCTGAGTGGTCTTAGGACTCAGAATCTGTTTTTAGTGAGGATGGATTCCTTCATCCCAATGTGCCCCCCTGGGTCCTGGGAGCCCCTGCAGAGCCCTCAGTTTAGACAGAGCCCCCTCCTCTCAGTCAGTAATTTCTCAGCCACGGGTGCCCGCCCAGCACGGTGCCTCTGTTCTGTCAGCTCAGCGTGTCGGGGGGCGAGGGCTGGGTGACCAGGTTGCCTCAGGCTGGGCGAGACCTGGCCTTGGCCTCTGACTCTTGCCCGTGTGCTGGCCTGATTGGGAGGAGATCCCTGCAGGGCTCCTCGCAGGACCTCCCCTGGGCAGCGCCGGCGGGCAGTGGCCACGCGTCTCAGGCCAGGCAGGCTTATCGGGCTGTCCCCCCTTCCCGGTAGGAAGCTGGCTGTCTTTGACACCTGGAGCGCCCTGGCTGTGCATGTGGCGATGGACAACACGGTGGTGATGGCGGACATCAGTAAGTGAGCGGGCTCCGGGCTGAGGGCCCGACGGCGCCAGCCAGGCAGGCGGGAGGGCGCTGGGGGCCTTGCTTCTGGTCTCGGGTGGAATCATCGGTGCCCGTGCGCTGGGCCTGTGTGCTGATGCCCCACGAGGAATGCTACCGCGTCTTCCTGGCCCCCAGACGCTGCCAGAGGTTTAGAATTCGGAGGAGGACCCGGATTCACGAGGTCTGGAGGCAAAGACATGGTCTAATTGTCGTCACTGACGGAAAAGCAGAGAGTTCAGACATGCTGACAGTGTGAACCGGGCTGGAACCCACAGGTGGGGGCCTGGTGTCGCTGAGAACCCCCTTACAGGGTGCGGCATGGGGCGGGCCGCGTGGGGGGCGTGAGCTGCTCCTGTCTCAGGCCAGGCGTGGGTGGACCCCGGACAGCAGGAAGGTGTCCTTGTCACAGAAGAGTCTCTTAGTCAGCAGAGCAGAACTCAGGTAAAGTTGAGAGATGGTGCAGCAGGTTGGATATGTCCACAGGGCAGTTGTATAAACTGATGTGGAGCAGTTAGGGGAAAAGGACAGGATCTTAATTACCTAGAAATGTCAAGCTTTCTGTCTCAGCTTTTGGGTCAGAAATGTCAAGCTTTCTGTCTCAGCTTTTGGGTCAGAAATGTCAAGCTTTCTGTCTCAGCCTTTGGGTCAAAAAGTCAAGCTTAAAGATTACATACCAGAAGCTGACGTGAACTAAACTCAGGGAAAAGCATATACCTTTAATACTGGTGATGACATAGTAAAAGTGACAGGGAATGAAGTGTTGCTCAAGAGCATAGGAAAGGACCAATAAATGTGATGGAGGGAACTTCAGAACAATGGCATCAATAAAGAGAAATGCAGAGATTAATGATTTAAAAGGAGGTATGTAGAACCACTACCTTCTAGAGCTGGTTCTTTGCAACAATGTGCACATCACCAGCAACTGCATCTGGGGTGAGGAGAAGCCCAGAAATCTGTGTCTGGAAATTAGGGGAGAGCCGGACGCCGACCCCTGTGCATGGGTTTCCCTGGCCCGGCAGTTCTGTGGCACCTGCTGGGCATGCTGCAGTTCGGCTCAGTTCTGAGCCAGTCTGCAGGCCTGCAGGGGGCATCACACCCGCAGGACCACCTGACACCCCCCCCCCCCCCCCCCCCCCCCCCCCCCCCCCCCNCCCCCCCCCCCGCCCCTGACCCACTGAAGACCCCAGGGCAAGTCCAGGTGGTCACCTGTGCTTCCGACAGCCTAGTTGGAGGCTCCATGACCCTGTCCTTGGCTCTGTGACTTTGCTGGAGCAGCTGGGAGACTCAGGAGCACTTCACTCACGAGAGCATGTGGTACCCAAGGACAGGACTCAGACAGCCAATGGAAGAGACGCTTGAATTCCTTTCAGCATTTATGGAGGTGGCACTGACAGGCCCGAGGGACCAGGTCACCATCCGCTGGCGACTGAACTCCAGCTCTCCCCTCCCTGGAGCGGCGTGGAGGGGTGCCTGCATCCAGCCCCTCCCTCAGGGCTCTCCAGAGCCCCCAGTAACAAATGGGGACGGCTGCATGGTGCTCCTCACTCGGGAAAGTCCGAGGGTTTGGGGGCGCCCACTCAGGACGCACCCCTGGCCCCTTCCGGTTAGTGGTGGACTCGGGGTGTTTGATGGGCTCTCAGGACTCACCGAGTGGGCTCTGACCCTCCACTGCACACATCCCTACCTTGGGTGTCTGTTGGCGCTCTTTGAGTAAGTAGATTCATGGATCTCTTTTTCTTTTTAAATTCAAGATGTTTCCCCTTAGGGTCGTGACTCTGTCCCAGACTCGGCTGGCTCCTTGCCAGTGTCCAGGCGTGTGTGTGGTCGTAACCCCTCTTTCCTGGCATCCTCTCTCTTGTCCCGTTAGTGGGGAAGGGTGTCCAGTAACCACGGCTGGGGGCCTGGGGTGCTTGTGGCTGCTGGAGGGTCTCCTGCACTGAACTTGGGCGTAAACCTGCTCCCTGAGGGATTGGAGGGTGTGTTTAGACAGAAGAAAAAGAAAGCAGAACCGTTTCCACTTGATGCTGTCCTTGCTGAGGGGGCCTCAGGCCAGTGATCAGTGCTGCGTCCACCCGGCTGGAGGCTCCACGGGGCTTGTTTTACCATTGCTTCCCAGGGGCACACAAGTGTTCTCTTGCCTCACTGTGTGTGTATGCTGTCAGTTCAGTTCAGTTGCTCAGTCTGTCCCACTCTTTGCTTCCCCATGAATCGCAGCACGCCAGGCCTCTCTGTCCATCACCAAATCCCGGAGTTTACTCAAACTCATGTCCATCGAGTCGGTGATGCCATCCAGCCATCTCATCCTCTGTCGTCCCCTTCTCCTCCTGCCCCCAATCCCTCCCAGCATCAGGGTCTTTTCCATTGAGTCAACTCTTCACATGAGGTAGCCAAAGTATTGGAGTTTCAGCTTCAGCATCAGTCCTTCCAGTGAACACCCAGGACTGATCTCCTTTAGGATGGAGTGGTTGGATCCCCTTGCAGTCCAAGGGACTCTCAAGGGTCTTCCCCAACACCACAGTTCAAAAGCTGTATGCTGTAGTTGACAATAAAAGTTTGAAGTTGGATACACATAGAAAAGCTGCACTGTGTCTTCCCTGTAGCGGCAGGTTTGTCTTAGGCTCAGTTCCCAAGTCTGAGCTGTGCTTGACGCGCTGGACTGTTCACAGCTGTGTCTGCGGTGGGGGACTCGCGGCTCCTGTTCAGCCCCTGAGAACGCGTCTGCCTCTTGCAGGGAGGTTGTGCAGGAGCGGCCTTCCCTGTGCCGGGGCCGAGGCCTTCCCGGCAGACTCCGAGCGGCACTGCAACGGCTTCCCGGCGGGGGCCGAAGGCGGCGGGCGCACGGTGCCCTGGAGGCCCTTGGTGCTGCTCATCCCGCTGCGCCTGGGGCTGGCGGACGTCAATGCGGCCTACGCGGGCACGCTCAAGGTGGGTCTGTGCCGGCCCCTCCCCTCTGCACCTGGGTTGTGCCGGCTCCTCCCCACAGCTGCCCGCCCAGCCCGGGGCTGGGCCGACCCCGTGTGCACCTGCGTGGTGCCCCGCCGTCCTCTTCTCCCCGCCTGGGGCTCCCCCGAAGGACTTGCCGCCTCAGGGTCGGGAGCCCTGCTCTGTGAGGGTGTGCTGGCAGCCCCCGGGGGCAGGGGCGGGGAGGAGCCTCTGCTCACACCCCCGCCCCCCGTAGCACTGCTTCCGGATGCCCCAGTCCCTGGGCGTGATCGGGGGGAAGCCCAACAGTGCCCACTACTTCATCGGATACGTTGGTGAGTGGGGGTCTGCTGCGGTTGAAGGAAGCGGGTGGTCTTCAGGGTGCCCCCCCCCCCCCATCCCGGACACAAAGCCGCCTCCGCCAGGCCGACGTGGCTTTGGGGGCTGAGGTGGGGCCGCCCTGCCCTCACTGACCCGCCCACCCCCCATCCAGGGGATGAGCTCATCTACCTGGACCCCCACACCACGCAGCCGGCTGTCGCGACCTCTGACCGCTGCCCGGTCCCGGATGAGAGCTTCCACTGCCAGCACCCGCCCGGCAGGATGAGCATCGCGGAACTCGACCCGTCCATCGCCGTGGTGCGTTCCGGCGTCACCGCTGTCACCCTGCTGCTCTCGGAGGGAGGGCCCCCGCTCCCGTAATTTCAGAGTCGTGCGCTTAGCGTGATGGTAGCGCGGTTCGGAACCCAGAAGCGCAAGGAGCGGCCCCGGCCCCGCCCCCTGCCGCGGCTCCCGGGGCCCCGCGAGCTTCGTGCTCTGTGCTGTCCTTTCTGAGCTGCTGTGTCTGCCGGGTGTTCCCTAACAATGGACCTCCTCGCCCGTGCTCTGCTGACAGCAAGGCGGGAAGGGTTGGTTCTGCTCAGAATACATTTACGGGAGGCCAGGGACTTCTGGAAATCAAAAGAACCTATGGGTCCCCCGAGCCGTGGACATGAGGCATTTGTTCCTGAGAAGGGGCGACCCCAAACGCACTGCCTGTGGGTCTGGGTTACTCCCAGAGGCTCGTGGCCCCCCCTGGAGGGCGTCGGTGGTGGTCTCGCAGGAGCCTGCCTGTGAGCTCCTCAGAACGAGGTGGGGTCTGAGGCTGACGGCAGGGATGCGGGCAGGTGGCTGACCCTCGGGGCGGGGGCGGGGGCGGGGGCAGCTCCTGGGACACAGGCCTCCATCTTTCCTGTCCTCACCCCGGCCTGCGTGGTGCTCAGGTGTCTCTCCTCGGCTCCTGCTCCCATCTCTGTGGGCAGGCTGAGAGCTCCCAGTCCCCTCACGACCCTGGCGCTCTCCGAGCGGGGGAGTCCCCGCGTCCCCTCAGGAGGGCCAGGCCAAGGGCATGGCAGGAGCCGGCTCCTACTGTGCCCCGGGCATCGTCATGACCAGGCCCTTTTCGGTCGTCTGGGCGGAGGTGGGCCTGGGCACCGCAGCCAGACGAGGCGGCCGGCCGTGTGCAGGGTGCATGTGAGGGCCGGGCAACCCCACTTACGGCGGGTGTTGGTTGCAGGGGTTTTTTTGTAAGACTGAGGACGACTTTAACGACTGGTGTCAGCAAGTGAGAAAGGTTGGTGGTGGCTCCTGTCTTGTGGAGTGGGGGGGTGGAGGCTGGCCGGGGGTCTGGGGTCCAGCCCCCTGCTCAGTGGGCCTGCCCTGCACCGGGCGGCGCTTGCCTCACCTGCCTGGGAACACCTGGCCATCCTTGCTGTGGTCGCAGACCCCCTGGGATTCCCAGTAGTCCTGGGGTCGCCTGGGAAGGCTGCCCGGCCCGGTGCGTCCTGCCTCTGCCGTGGCCTGACACTCGGTCTGCTGACAGCTGTCCCTGCTGGGAGGCGCCCTGCCCATGTTTGAGCTGGTGGAGCAGCAGCCTTCCCACCTGGCCTGTCCTGACGTCCTCAACTTGTCCTTAGGTGAGTCCAGACGCCTAGGGTCTCAGGCCGGGGTGCAGTCTGTGTGATGCCTCCTCAGGGCCTGTTCTGCTCACCTGTGGCCTTTCACGTTGGCCTGAGCCCCGCATGCAGCTCCCTGGGGCTTTGTGAGGGGTCCCGGGGGGCACACCACGCGAGCCTGCTTCGTGCCGCCCCGGGCTCCTGGGAGCTGGGACACGTTAGGCCTTCTGCAGCAAAGCAGCCGCTGGGGCTTGGTCCCCGTGGCCCCAGGGTTCTGGGGGCATCTTCCCAGTGTGAGTGGAGCTCGTGGAGAGGGGACCTGCGGTGGGGCCAGGGTGCCCGCGCCACTGGGCACAGATGCCCGCTAGGCCCAGGTGGTGCTCCTGAGCACCCTTCTGTGGGGTCCCTTGTCCCTGAGTCTCAGGGCTGGGCTCTGCTGCCCGTTCGGACACCGCCAGGAGCAGGGTTCCCCAGCTGGGTAGTCCCAGATGCCCCACCCCTGTCCGCATCCAGGCTGCCCTGACAGTCGGGCACCCGGCAGGACGTTCTCCTTGCAGAGCACGTGGGTGGGATGTGGGGTGAAGCCTGTGCGCCCCCAGGCACTTGACCCTCAACCCCACCCGCCAGACTGAGTGACCCACGCCTGCGTCTGCCGAGGTTTTGTCTCGTTCTTTTCTAGATTCTTCTGATGCAGAGCGACTGGAAAGATTCTTTGACTCAGAAGATGAAGACTTTGAGATCCTGTCCCTCTGAGAGTCCTGCAGGTGGGGACGGTCTCACTGGCCCTCCAGGGGCGCTTGGCCGCTGCGTCTCGTCCACCTGCTGCCCGCCGCCCAGCGCCCCAGCCCAGCTGCCTCCGCCTGACTGAGGCCCTGGGCACGCGCTCCTGCCGCACTGCCAGCCCTGCCCGGCGCCCTGCGCCCTCCTGGCCTGGCCGCTCACCTTGAAATTAAAGCCCTGTCTGAAGCTCCGTGACGGACATAGCTGCCGCTGGGCGTGTCCCGAGACAGGCTCCAAAGACGCAGTCTGCAGGGCGCCATGGGAGAAGGGGCCAAGGACCTCGGCAGGGCGTCCCACGTTGGGAGGAGAGGCGTGGGTGGGGGCGGGCAGTCAGGTCCAAAGATGTTACTGTGCGCAGTGCCAGACGGCAGTGCCGCCTGCCCAGAGCCCCAGGGCGGCTGCGGGCCCCGCGCTGCTGCTTGCTTGTCTTGCCCGCTTCCCCCAGGGTAGGGGACTTGGGCAGCTCCATGCCCCCGGAGCAGGCCCCTGCCTCACCCCTCCTCAGGGCCTCCCTCTCGGCCAGCACGGCTTCAGATGGTTTGGGGTCCAAGGGTCAAGCCTTCCACATGTGGCGTGAGGTGGGCGTGCAGCTCCTCATGGCAGGAGCACACCTAGACCTGCTCACGCTGACCCGGGGCCACCTGCCACCTCTCAGCCTGCGTTTGGGCCCCACCGACGGCCTGTGTCCCACCAGGAAGCGCAGACTGGCTGGGAGCTCGGGTGGGGCGGCCCCCCCCAGGAGTCCCCCCCACCTCCCACCCAGGGGGCAGCTTGCACCCTGCCCCCTGGGTGTTGTTGACCTAAGTTATTTCATCTCCCTTTTTGTCTCCTTCCCCCGCTCCGTCCCTCAGGCAGAGCTGGGGGGCTCCGTTTCCCCTGCCACTGGCGCATGGGGTCTTCTCTGCTCCTGCCGGCAGCAGGGGCACCAGGGGGGACCACCGACCAGAGGGGACTGTCTCGTGTGTGTTGGGAAAGGCTTACTGAAGAGTGTTCACTCCTAGTCGTATAGTTCGCGGTTCTTTACTGCAAATAATTAACAGTTTCAATAGAAAACAGAATTTGCGTCTTGATTTTCCTGGAGCTGTCATGGTAAGAACAAGGGTGGGTGGTATCTTCTGTTTGAAAGAGCCCTCGGGAAGGACCTGGTGGACACGCATTACCAGCTCGTGGTTCCCAGGCCTGGGTGCACGGCGCCCCTGCACGGACCCACTCTGCAGGGTGTGCTGCTTCTCACTTTGTGTTCTGTTGTCGTCGCTCAGTTGTGTCCGAATGTGACCCCGTGGACTGCAGCACACCAGGCTTCCCTGCCCTTCACCATCTAGCTTCTTCCGATTCACATCCATCAAGTCAGTGATGCCATCCAACCATCTCCTTCTCTGTGCCCCCCCCCTTCTCCTCCTGCCTTCAATCTTTCCCAGCATCAGGGTTTTTGTTCCAGAGTTAGCTCTTTGCATCAGTGGTCAAAGTATTGGAGATTGAGCTTCAGCATCAGTCCTTCCAATGAAACTCAGGACTGATCTCCTTTAGGATGGACTGGTTGGATCTCTCGAGTCCTCTCCAACACCACAATTTGAGAGCATCAGTTCTTCAGCTCTCGGCCTTCTTTATGGTCCCACTCACATCTGTACATGACTACTGGAAAAACCACCCAGTAGCTCAGCGGTAAAGGATCGCCTGCAATGCAGGAAAGGCAGGTTTGATCCCTGGGTTAGGAAGATCCCCTGGAGGAGGAAATGGCAACCCACCCCAGTATTCTTGCCTGGAGAACCCCATGGACAGAGGAGCCTGGCGGGCTCACACCATGGGGTTGTAGAGTCAGACACAATGGAAGCGACTGAGCACCTTCCACCTTGTGTGGTTTGTATTTAAAGCAAGACTCGCAGGGAGGTCAGACTGCCCCTTCCTCACGGGTGTGGCGTGGTGGCGGTGCTGGGCGCTTGGCAGCTCCTTAAGCAGCGTCCCTCTGGGTGCCCAGTGCCTCTGGTCGCCCCCAAGCGGGTCACCAGGGACTGAGCAAGGCCACTTGCCACGCCTGGGAGGTCCTGGTGGGAGTGCTGGAGCTACGCTGAGCCCTTCCACTCCCTGCTTCCACCCGTCTGCCTGCTGCTGTGGGCTTGAGGGGGCCAGAGCCAGACAGGAAGTGCCTCGGCCGGAGCCCGAGGCCTGGCTTCTAGAAACTAACCACTTGGTTTCTGGAGCCTCCACACTCTGGCTGAGGCACCTCTCAGGACTCTGGAGGTCAGAGGTCAGCAGGGCTCCCCCAGGGCCCTAGCTAAGTCCCTTCTCCAGATCCCACACCCCGGCCCAGCACCCCACATGCATATGCGCCCCACAGCCAACTTCGTCTCCCCTGACCAGACCCTTCTGCCTCGAGGGACCATGAGGCCCCGTCCTAACATGGGTCAGAGGGCTCCCCGTCAGGGGCCTCCCGCCCCGGCCCGCGGCCTCCGATGGCCAGCACTCAGGACCCCTGCCCACGCTGCATTTCTGTCCCCCAGCATGTGGCCTCGGTCGTGTGAAAGGTCAGAAGGCAGGCTGTGGGGGCTGCCCACCATCCCCATGGACGACCTCAGCACTCGAATGCAGCGGTCCAGCTCCATGCATGCCTCGTAACTGTTGCTGCCCCGATCTCAAGTGTGTGCTGCTGGCTGGGTGGACGCACACGCAGGCCTTTCAGGCCAGTGGGCACCCGCGGCTGGCCCGGCGCCTGCAGCGGGGCCCTCTGTGAAGCAGCCACACAGCTGTGCAGGTGCAGGGACGCTGGCCCCTCTGCCCTCCCGCGAGGGCTGGGCTACCCCTCCCTGCCCAGTCCTGTGGACGGGCAGCACCACTGTGCCGGGGGCCGGGGGCTCTCCCCCAGCTCCGGCCCCTGGACCTCTCACGTGGTCTCCTCCTGCTTGGGACCCAGCCTCCTGCCCACACCCGGGAAGCACTGAGCCCCACAGCGCCCTGTAGACAGGGACCCTGCCCACCGCAGGGCTTGTCCTAGAATAACCATGTGACGGGACGCAGAGGATTATACAGCTGCGTCTCCCATCTCAACAGGATGACCAGCATGTGCCAGACGTGTTCAGATGAGACACATGCTGCCCCACACGGCTGGGCCGGGCCCTGCAGGCCAAGGCACAAGGCTGGCACTCAGCCCAGGCGCAGCCGGGCCAGGCCAACAACACAGGGGCCCCAGGCAAGGATGCTGCACCGCACCGGGCCCCCAGCCACCACCACCGTCTCCATCTCGTCTTTATTGATGACGTCTGAGGACATGCTGAGAGTTTCAGCGACCCCAATGGGACCGCTGGACGCAGCTGTCAGACCTCAGTGAGGAAAGCACAGTGATGTACAAGCGTCTCTGGGGCACAGGTGGCTGGCCTCCTATGTCCACAGCTGCCCCAGGGGCCTGTGTGCGGCGGCCCGGATGGCGTCCTCAGACAGCGCGCGGATCTCCCGGTGGACGTCCTCGATGCTTCTGGAGGCGTTGACCGTCTGTGCGGGGCAGGGGACACAAGGTGTTAACGTTGGCAGTGCACAGGCTAGTCCAGGGGGCACGACTTCGGCTCCTCACCCCCCAGCCTCGCCAGGGGACCGAGCCGCCCCGCACTCTGCGGCAGCCCCCTGCCAGCAGCGGATGTGGTGAAGGCAGCATGAGCCCCCTCCATGGCTGCGCCTGCACCGCCCGGAGCCCCAGGCAGGTCTGCGTCCGCTGCTCCACACCTGCAGCCCTGCTGCTGAGACCCCGCCGCCGAGGTGAATGGCACAGGACCCTTGGTCACCAGGGAGCCAGCCCACGAGGAACCGCTCTCCGCCTGAGAAAGGGCCATGTACTGGGCACACAAGGCAGGCATGCCCGGGGCCCCTCCTTTGCCAAGGCTCAGCCCTGGGTGCACCAAGAGCCTCTCGGCAGCCACGGGGCAAGCAGCAAACTCTGGACGAGCCCCAGGAACAGAGGCCTTCAGACAACCGCAACCCCCACGTGGGCCTCAGGTGGCGGCCCCAGCCGCTCCCGCATGAACTCACGTATGTGCCCCGTGTGCCCCGGGGGCCTCTCCACAGAATGGAACCGGGGTCACTGCAGACGCTGGGCCAGGGAGGCCCAGGATGAGCCGAGACCATGACGCACGATACCAGAAAGGGGCCAGCGTGAAGGGGCCTCCCAGAGGCAGACCCGGGAAGCGTGGGCCTCGGACGGTGAGGAAGGCAGGTTGCTGCTGAGTGAGCCCTGCACACCAGTCTGTGGGCGCTGGGGTTTCATGTGGTCTCAGAGCCCCTCCTCAGAGGAACACAGAGGGACGTCACCATGAACCACCTGACCGAGGTGCAGGCGAGCATGGCTGGAACGGACGTGCTGAAGGTGGACGCCCCGTGACACGGCAGCAACCACCCAGCAAAGGTGACAACCTGACTCCACACATGAAGTCAATCTAAGGCTCAGCCACGAGGAACCTGCGGGGCCTTCAGAAACACCGAGGCTGAGATGCTCAGAGGCAGGAGAGCAGCCACGAGCCAGGCACCACGTCCGTGCTTACAAAGCTCAGCGGGGGGGACCTGGTGTCTGGGCCGCGGGAGAGGACCCGTGTGAACGACCCAGGTCCACACGGGACGGGGTTAGGTACTGAAACTTATCGTCAAACAGTCCCCGGAAGAGTTCCTTGTTAGACTTAAAACTTTTCGCTAAGTCTGTTACTGCTTTAAAGATGTCAAAAAAACTAAAGTAAACTTTCAGATCAACAGGAGCCAAGACTCCTATGAGGGGACCTACCCTACAAGGAACATCAGCGGAGCTCCTAGAGCTCTGGGAACCCAGCTGAGAAGATAGCTTGGCAGAAAGGCAGCCACTGGCCCCTCCCTTCCCAACTCCCGATGCTGTGGTTTCCTGTCTGTTCCCAGCAGGTGCTGAAATGCAGTATGAACCATGGATAATCTACACCACATAGAACTACTTAAAAAAGAAAACCAGAGAGGGACTTCCTTGGTGGTCCGGTGGTTAAGGCTCTGCCTTCTACTGCAAGGGGCTGAGTTCCACCCCTGGTCGGGGAACTAAGACCCCTCATGCCACAGGGCGTGGCAAAAAATAAAAAATTGGTGAGAACAAATTGAAGAAAAAAAGAAAGAAAATGAAGAAAACCAGAAAAAGAGAGAGCTCTGGCATTCAGTAGCTGACAGAACCGGCCAGCAGAGGGCAGGGCAGTTGAGGCCCCACACTGTGGCCTCTGCCTGGGGAAAAGCTCGCCCTTCCCTCCAGCCCTGAGCACCCTGAGCACCCTGAGACACACGGCAAGGTCAGGTGTGTGCTTTAAAGCTGCACAGGGAGCCCTGGCCACACCACTCAGCAGGGCAGTCGGGAGGCACGGACCAAGGGCAGGGAGATGCATGAGCCCAACTGGCGGGTGTGTGGCCCATCACGTTCATGGACGCCACCTGCAGGGAGGCTGGAGACAGGCCAGGACTGGAAGCGCCCTGAGGCCGTGGGGACCATGCAGGAGGTGGCGGCTGGGGCAACGGGGATGGCTCCCGGCCCCCGCGGCCCAGGGCTGGAACTGTGCTCAGGGCATGGGAGGTCCCTCGTTGGACCCAGGTACGCACAAGCTGCCGCACTGCAGCCCCGACTCCCCCGGTCTGGCAGCGGCCCCAGGGCCCAGGTGGCACTCACCTTCCAGGGCAGACTTGGGTCTGCCAGGAGCTGCTGGAAGCGCTGCAGGGCGCGCTGCTGGAAGGGGCCACTCTCGTAGCGCTCGCGGCCAAACTCGCCCCGCACCGCTGCCTCCGCGAGCTGCAGCTGCAGGAAGACTACCAGGTCGGGCTTGGGGAGGCCCACGTCCGGCTGCTTACACCAGTCCAGGGAGAAATTCTGGGGACAAAGAACCACCCTGAGAGGGAACCAGCATAACGTGGTCTTATTTCTGGTTCCAGATTCACCAAGATGGGGGAGAGGGAGATGGGATGTGTGGGGAGAATTCTCACACGACAGCGGGTGTCCTTTAGGCCTCATGTGGTTTCTCTCTTGAGACTGTGCTCCGTCCACAGGACGCCCCGGGCCCAGGACCCCACACCCTCCAGC